TTGTGACGTTAATTTCACAGGTGAGACCGGGATCGAATGACGCCGGTCATAGTTCTTTGGCTGTTGCGCAACCTTAAGTCTAGAAACGCCCAGACAAGGTCTCTATATGCAAAAGCCACTACGCACGCATGTCTTCATTTTGCTACCTTACACGATGGACCGTTGTCGTTTGTCTGGTGTTCCTGCGCTAGCCGTCGTTCTCATGCTGGACGTGGCGGCTGACTTCGAATTACAGCCGATAAACGTCCCCGGTTCTTCGTCGTTCAACCACCACATGGAAGACTATTTAAAAGTGTTCCAAGAAGATCAGAACGATGGCGTCGAAGAAATCATTATCAAGGCCAAAAGTAACCTTCAGCAATTCCTTATAGGATGACCTGCGAGATCAGGCTCTAGAAGTTCTGTTTTAAGGAACGCTCCTTTGCCAACGACGTCTGAGAGAAAGTGTAACCACAGACTAAGACTAAGACTAACGAACAAGATTGGTTTGCAGTGCTTTATTTAATTTGAGATCGTCTCATTTAAGATTTTATTGTCTCATGAGTAGAAATGGCGGAAACGGCTACTTAATTTGCGTAACGCTCAACGTATACTTATACGTTTGTTCATCTTTTTCTTGTTGTTGTTGTTTTGTGTTCTAAGGTATGACCATATTCAGTGTACTGTGAATAGATTATATTTATTCAAGATCGACTGAAAACCGAAAGGCTCCTTAGCTTATTGATTCAAAATTGCATAACCGAATAGAATGTATAACAATATATTACACAAAGTACATAATCTCTGAAGTTTGGTGCGACATTTTTCCTCCTTCACGAAATAAAGCCAGACGAAGTGTGGACTTTGTTTGATTTCGTTCCTAGAAGATGAACCGAATTTGATTCTAAACGTTCCAGGCTCTCTGCATAATGTATTTGCTGCATGACGCTGCTTAGTCAGAGATTTGGGCAAATTTGAATTCAGTTCCCGCATGCGAGTTTATTATATAATAAAAACAAAAACACCCAATCTATGTTTCATATGAGTTCTTTCCGCTAGAGAAAGGCTCTTGCACATTACAATAAACAGAACACGAAACTGATGTCACCACCAACTTCGATCTCGTTGTGATAATTGTGATGGTCTATCATAAATCTAAAATGGTCGATTGCCCAAGAGTACGTTGATCAGATCCAATTACCTCCAGAGAAATTCTTCTAGAGACAAAGCCTCTGCCCTAAAAAACTCAGACAGACCGGATGCCTGATCATCAGGATAATTTCAACTGATAACGGATGAAGCATTGTGATATTTTAATTTAGCATTAATTGTCCACTGATGTTCAGAGGAATCAAATCACCAATATGCAGTCTATGCAGGACTTCATCACTAAGTACGATAACCCCTCCCCACCATGTTCCCTTTGGCCGCATTCCATTATAGTCGACGCTGCCTCTTGTCCGCCACAGGAACGCATAAACTAGACTTATGGAAAATTGACGTTGTTGGCAAAGCGTTATTTCTGTAGATCGTATTAGTGTGTGTGGATGGAGGTATCGATTCGAATGTGTCAGTAGCAGCAAATTTTCGGTCGTCGATCTGTGGTTAAAGGCAATAATATACAGATCACTCTGATCAAGGATATATGCAAATAAAACAGCATGTTTGCGACATTTCAGAGACAACATTAGTTGCTTCGTTAATTTTTTCAGACAACCTGGTACAAGACATTCCAGTTGACTCTCAGACCAAACGAGCTGGATTATAACCAATCGATATACAGTCTGATTTTGTCGGCTAACATGTCTAACGATCCACTGACTATAAGCTCGACGTTTATTTGCTCCATATCAATAAAAGCGAGGTTCGTCGAACTAAATAAGTGTCTCAATACAAAGCATCGGAAACGATTCTAGAATGCCTTTTCCATGTCTCAGAAACGCTTCAGATCTTCATCAATCTTTTTGTTCCCATGTATGACCTGTCGCACGCATTGCTTTCGATCACATAAGCCAATCTCATGTCTTTCTTCTTTCTGGTTAATGAAGTTTCAAGGTAGATCTGCCATCCTAATAAACAACCAATACCCTTGTAGAACTTATTATTACCTAAAATTTGTCTGATTTTGTTACAGAGTTTCGGAATGAATTAGATGATACAACGTTAAATGCATTACTTATTCTTAACAACGGGAATAGGTTGAAAACGGTGCTCAATAATTTCTTAACTGTAACTACTTTTACACGAGAAATTTGGTACTTCTTCAATCTCTGCGTAGTCGCCTCTAATTCTCCAATCATGGCTTACAGTCAGCGTCCTAGTGCAACTAGAATTGGCTTTAAAATCAGGGGTAGTTATATCAACTTTCGTCATTAATTCCACGCAAACCGGCTATTTCGATAGTCCACGTTTTTAACCATATTTCAATATGTTAAAGTTGTAACGTGATAAAGTATTCTAGCAGAGATCTGTTTCTGTTCTGTCGCCGAGATTCGATAGGGGAACGTAAGAGACTTCTTAAAAAACTGAAACGATATTTAGAAGTAGGTTTCCAGCATTTCACTTCATCATAAATAAGTGCATCACCATTTATATGGCGCAGCAGACGCGTCCCACAGTGCTTCAAACGCTACCGATGATATGCCAGCATCTGAGCTACGGAAGAGCATAACAGGAATCTAGAACAGACTCATTCTATATATTTGGACCAGGTTAATCCAGACTGTCCACTAAGTGTTCCGCCAGTCAGTTTCACAAGCAGTAGTTGCTTCATCCTACTTTCTGGAGGCATTCGCAACACGTGCCTAAACCCTCTCAGAGGTGATCTCTCAATCTGAAGAAGCAGCTGCTGTGCAACAAGGCTATTACAGATTTCCGTACTCCGGACCAGATCGAGATGCGTAAGGTCCGTGACTCGATTCAGAAACTCATTTCAGCCCCTTGTACTCGGGATCGCAGTTATTCAGTCATAGCCTACAATTCATGAGCGTAGAAAAACATGGGAATGAAGATCGACTTGAACACAGGGAACTTAGTTTTCAGACTCAGTTCTCCTTTGGACACAGTCGTTCGGGCAAATTCAAGCAGAACACCATTGGCTACTCCAATTCGTCGACTGATCTCCTCCTGAATCTTTCCATCACCAGTGAGCACGACTCCGAGGTACTTGAACTTCTCCACCTGCTCCACTGCCTCTCCGTTAATCTGAAGAGAGCAAGGGCAGGAGAACGAGAAAGCACTAGGCTTTTCGTTTTAGATGCCGGTCACGTCGCACTCGGCTGCGAACCTTTCTAAGGAGCAATGGAGATCAGTTTCAGAAC